ACCCGCTCCTGCTTTGTTGGCCTCCCGGAGCCCTGGAGGCTGAATGAGCTCTCACAGCGTGCCAGCCCTGGGCTAGGCCTGGGGGACAGCAGTGAAAAAGCGCAGCCTGCCTCATGGCGCTTCCATCCTGGCAGCGGAGGCAGACGTTCCAGAAGTCGTGGCGACTGCGGTGAGCGCTCTGGAAGGGAAAGTTGGGGTGCCGTTGTGGGGCATTTTGGAGGGACTTCACTTACATTAGGGGGCTCAGCGAAGGCCTCCCTCTGAGGACATTTTATCTATGCCAAGACCTAGAGGACAAATGGAAGTTTCCATGTGCCGGGCTGGCCAGGACAGAGTTAAAGGAAACAACATGTGCGAAGGCCCAAAGTGTGAGAGAATATAGAGGTCCTAGAAACAACGAAGTCTGTCACTAGAGTGCAGATCACAGAGCAGAGAGTAATAACAAAGTTTCCCACCAGTGGCACTCCTTCTTTGTGGTGGGGGCCGTCCTGGGCATTGCAGGCTGTTTAGCAATGTCCCTGGCCTCTACCAGTAGAATCCAGTGGCTCCTCTCCCAGAAACATCTCCAGACATTGCCAAAGTTCCACTGGGGTGGGGCAAAATCACCCCTATAGAGAATCACTGGTGTAGGGCGAAGCTGGAAAAGAAGACAAGAAAAGTAGACTAAGTTAGTCACAGAAGTATTCTGCTACGACCCGTCTGTGTCTTAGGCCTACATTCCAGGGGGGGGTCAACCACGGTGCGTACTCGGCAGGTGTATGTGGAGCTGTGACCAGCCCCTGGCTCTGGGCTGTGTCTCTCTAAAGAGAGCGGACTCCCTCCCTCTAGGAGCTCTCTTCCAAAGGTTTCCAAGATGACTGCTCCAAACCTTCAGTTCCATTCTGTCATAAATGGTGACAGCGGTGAGATTCGGGTTCTAATTCTGGGTGGCCCAGCCCTCCCTCACTGTGGGTAGAGGAGACCCCAAGGCGCCGATTCCGATAATGATGGCAGTTATTATATGGTGGCCCCCAAAGTCAAAAGCGCCATGGTGAAGCATTAAAGATTTCAGTGTATATTTAAAAGTCAGGCTGGAAATACAACTGGCTTTCTGTGCAGTTTGATTACCCATGGGATTTGTCTGAAATGGGGATGCACATGACAGAGAGCAAAGCAGCTGGTTTCAGGATTTCCATGTTCAAGATTAGATGATAGGATGGGCAGAGGAAGTCTCATTCCTGAGGGCTTCTGACCTGTGTGCCAAGTGGTCTGTGGCATTATTTAGGACTGTAAGGCCGTGTTAACTGCAGCTCGTGGGTCTCAGGGGCTGGCTGTCTCGGCTTCCGAAGTGATTTAGGAGAGTGAGGCAGATTCTATTTCTGCGTGCTTTTCTATGTGCATTGTGTTTCTATCCTTTGGGCTAACCTGTCCTTTGTGACACTTCATTTCATTCATGACCTCCTTCAGAAGTAGACCTAAAGTAGTCACAGACACAGTGAGACCCTGTCCTAGTCAAATTCCTTTTACCCACGGACCCCATAGGCTGAGGTAGCCCAGTGCTTACATCTGCAAACTAGGATCGTTTAGTGCCCGCAGTTAGGAGTGATGTCACCAAGATGGCGACTTAGGTCGTTCCTGACCTCACTCCTCCTCACAAGAACAGCTAACAACTATTTGTGGACGAGACACCCCTGGGAGAATCCCAGAACGGGGGGGCGAGCCTGGAGCGCCCCCTGCGCCACAGAGAGCAAGACAGGCAGCACTGGAAGGTGGGAGGAGTACTGCTCAGCACCCGCAGTGGCCCTCCCCCAGGCCAGCACAACACCACACGGAGAGGGAGCCTTGAGCTAGGGCTCCTCCGGGGAGAAGAGAGCCCTGGGTGGGGGAGACATCCAGCTCTTGGGAGTGCCCTGTCTGGTCTCACCCACAGGGAGAATCCGTGGGGCTTGACCACTGGGAGTCCAATTGTGACTGTAATAGTCCAGTGTAGCCGTAATGGAGAGGAAGACGGTTAGCCAATGGGTTGGCCTTTTTCCAAATTGTGGCAGCCGAGTGTCAAAGACTGACTTCCACATCTCTCTCTCCTAAAACTCTTGGTGCAATGTTGTGTTGGTGATGTGCTCCAGCTAATGCTGTTTGGCTGGCTCTCTCTGATTCCCTCCTGTGGCAGAACTCAGATTGGCCACTTCAGCCAAATGGACCTGGCTTGGGACCCTGAGGCACTTGAACTAATGAGGAGATGCTGGAAATCCCTTCCTGCAAGTGGGCTGAGGTGGAGGATCCTTTCCATTCAGGGGCTAGACTTGGCTCGCCCAGTTGGCTCTAAGTAAAGCTGGAGTCCCACTGTGAGGAACGCTTTTGTTTTTATGTAGACACTTTATCCTTGTACCTGTGGTTTCATAACACAATTCCACTTGCCAAGTTTAAAGGATCAGGTGCTTAAAGAAAAAAGGAAGCCAAGTTAAGTACTCACTAGAGCAGGACAAAGTGGTAGCAGGTCACCAGAGTAGGGAAGATGAAAGTGACTCCATGATGGAAGGAGTTGTCACTGTATCTACTCTACGGAGCTAGATGTGATTCTCTGGCTGGAGTGGGGAAGCTGCCTGCCCCAGTGCACCAGTAGGTCATGGCTACCTGGAGTGGACGTGGGGACACTGGGCACCCAAACTGATGCCATCGACCAGGGTCTCAAGATGATTGATACACATTCCTGGCTTGGTCTTATCAGACCATAGTGGAATCTGGCTCTTTTTAAGAGTATATTTATTGGGCATGGGGCGCCTGGGTGGCTCAGTCATTAAGCATCTGCCTTCGACTCAGATCATGATCCCAGGGTCCTGGGATGGAGCCCCGCATCAGGCTCCCTGCTCAGCGGGGAGTCTCCTTCTCTCTCTCTCTCTCCCTCTGCCCCTCCCCCCTGCTTATGCTCTCTCTCTCTGTCTCTCAAATAAATAAAATCTTTTTAAAAAAGAGTATATTGGGCACAGAGGGGCCGATACTGTATATTCCACTTACAGAGGTGCCTAGAGTAGTTAAATTCATAGAGACATCATAGCGGAGTGCTGGTTGCCAGGGGCAGGGGGAGGGCGGGGAAAGGGAGAGTTAGTGTTTAATGGGCACAGAGTTCCAGTTGGGAGAGATGACTAAGTTCTGGAGATGCATGATGGTGACAGCTACAAGACCATGTGAATATACTCAATGCCACTGAGCTGTACACTTAAAATGGTTAAAGTGGCAGATTTTATGTCCTGTGTATTTTAGCACAGGAGTGCACTGGTGTTGAAGCCTGGGAAGTTTCGTGGAGGGTTATTTAAATCTTGCCTGTGCTCCTTACTGGCTGTGGAGTACGATACTTCTCTGAGCCTCAATTTTCTCATTTTCAGAATAGGGATAAGCTCTCAGGGTTGTTGTGAAAATAGATGAGATGCTGGGCGCCTGGGTGGCTCAGTTGGTTAAGCGACTGCCTTCGGCTCAGGTCATGATCCTGGAGTCCCGGGATCGAGTCCCAGGATCGAGTCCCAGG